CACAAGGGCAATGAAAGCAGGGAAGTTATGTTATAACCTCAGGCTTAATTTTTATGTATGCCATGAAGATAAGAAAAAGGAAAAAAAAGAAAAGGGCAATACTTTTTGTACTGGAAGTTTTTCTTCTCTTTCTGACAGTGAACATAAATTTCACCTCTAAAATGGAAAGGCGAGAAAATGGAAATAGAATTTTACACATTTTTGTGTCCTCCTGTGGGAAAGTCCATAGACAAGCAGAAATTGCATCCTATCTTTCTGGGATTTGTGTCTCAAAGAAGCTGTGTGGTATCACATTTATATGCAAAGCAACCTGAGTTTGCCAGTGGTGACTTCAGGGAGGGAGGGAGCAGAATAAGGCTGAAGTTAACCTCACAAAGCCTCTCTGTGCAGTGACACCAGCCCTTGTCATGGCGTGTAAACCAGAATTCAGTTATTGGCACTACACATAGATAACACGTCCCTGGTGGAAATGAAGACAGCTGAGAAGCTTCCCTCACAGAAGATGTGCCAACAAAACGATGGGAAAACCTGGTGAGGAGCCAACTGCAGAGTCTTCGGAATAAGACTGGCTATCAAACCCTCTGTGACACCTTTGGTCACTGCCAACTCCCAATTCAGGAAGTTGACTTTCCTTTGCCCTTGAAAAGAAATCCATCTTCAGGAAGAACTCAGATGACAGTAGCTAAACAAGAGATGGTGAAAGCTCTGTGCTTCAGGGGAGATCCTGCCAGCCACAGGAATGGAGCCATAGCTTTTGAAAATATACAGAGAAGGGCCTCCCCAGTGGCGCAGCGGTTGAGCGCTGGGTTGCGAAGCTGCCCGCGGCCTCTGCGGCGCCGGTTCAATCCCCGGCTGCTCCCCGGCCACCAGAGGAGGGTCCCACATGGCGCGCAGACCTCTCCTGCCGCCCGCTGCTCCCCTCAGCAGTGTACTTCGGTCCTTCTGCCTGCTCTGCTCCCCGCTCTGGCTCTGGTGAATTCTCTCACCCTCCCGCGCTTCTGACTGTACCCAGTGCATGTATAAACCAAACAAACAAATAATAAATAAATAAATAAGACATGCCTCTAGAAAATTAAAAAAAAAAAAAAAGAAAATATACAGAGAAGCCACAACTGTGCTTAGGTGTGAACATTGTCTGAAGCAATTAAATGCTACTTAATAAAGACTAAGAATATACCCCAGCCTCTCCATCAGGTTGTTTTTTTTTTTTTTTAAAGATTTATTTATTTATTTATACAAGCACTGGGTACAGTCAGAAGTGCGGGAGGGTGAAAGAATTCACCAGAGCCAGAGCAGGGAGCAGAACAGGCAGAGTGATGAAGTACACTGCTGAGGGGACCAGCAGGCAGCAGGAAAGGTCTGTGCACCATGTGGGACCCTTGCCAGTGGCCAGGGATTGAGCCAGCGCTGTAGAGACTGCAGGCAGCTTCGCAGCCCAGCGCTCAACCACTGCGCCACCGGGGAGGCCCTCTGCTCTGGATTTAAGAGAGCCATTGGTCTCTGGTTCTGATGCACATTTTCTGATGCATTGTCATTGGCCTTCATGTTGGAGGGTGACACTGTTGATGCTGTTGACATCTGTAGGAGCAGATGTAGCTGCCACAGTGGTAGGTGTTCGCCTGCTCTTTTCCTACCATTCTCAGAAGCCAGCTCTACTGCTAAAAGGCATTCTTGTAACTGACTTCAACATCTGGACTCCTGGTGACCCAAAGCACATGTTCAGACTTGGCTGCTGCCTACCTCCTACTTTCATAGTCTGGTCTGCTAATTCCTTCCATTTCCTGCCAGGCTTCCACATGGCCTCATGTTATAAGCAAGGGGATAGCATTAAGGTATTGCTTCTCCTGTAGCTGCTGCTCACTCTTCAGCTGCTTCGATAGAAATGCTAGTCAAGCGAACATAGTCCAGTCTGATGAACTGTAGGCATTTCCCAAAAAAATAAATAGAGGGGAGAGCAAATATAATAATGCTTTAGTAATCTACATCAGTAAAGAGACCCAATATCACTTAACACTAGCAGAAGACTGAAAATTAAATCGGTAACCTTCCTCTCATCAGTATGGCAATCCTTCTGGAATGAGGTGGAATCAGGAATAAACTCTCTGGGACAAAAAGTTGGAATTTGATGAGCATTAAACATCTAGAACCTGAGCTGTTATGCAATCAATGCTCATTGAATGTTTGTTTTTTTCCTTATTGATATTCATGTGCATGTCTTTGTAACAAATAAAATCACTTTCCATTTGAGAATTTAAAGTAACACTGCCTTGGCTGAGGGACTGTCCCCACAGGAATAAAATACACCATAGTTGGGATGGGTTGTATCCTAGTGGAGGGTTCTGGATGGTATGAAAGAACAGGTTTCTAAAAAGTAGCAGCCAGAGAAATGAGGAAGATAATGGAAGGAGTGAGGCTGGAAGAGAAAGGGATGCTTCCTCCATCCCAGGGAAGAGCCCAGAAACACTCTACATGCAAGCAAGCTTTACTGCGGGGCGGGGCATGGTGAAAGAGCAGCCCCTTCCCCAGGTGGATCTGGGCACTGGGATGTGGTCACAAGGGAGAAGGAAAGAAGATACAGACATTTCCAGAATTGAGCTGTGCCTCTAGCCCCTGCAGGTCCACTACTCTGAGCACCACAGAGACACATCCAGTTCCCTAAGGTGATCTGTTTGGGGAGAACAAAACCCAAAATGATCTGCAGAGGTCACAAGGCACAGTGACCCAGTTCCCTTTTGAGCAGGGCCAAAGCTACAACAGACAGGAAGTGGTCAATCCATGGTCAATCCACCTAAATCTCACACTTTTTCCCACATACAGAGGCACTGCTGACCTCAGGCCACCATGATTTGGTTCTGGCTAGTGTTCTGGGTCCTGGATCCTAGATGCAGCCATTATAAGGTGTCTTTCCTGCATGCTTCCTGATGCAACTGAGTCTCCTTTTAAACGTTGTTTTTCAAATGAATCACATACAAGATGAGTGTACCCAAGACCTTAATTATAATATTTAACATGTACTGAGCTTTTCTTGGGGGCCAGGCCCTGTGCTAAGCACTCCCCAATTCTTATCTCATGTCATTCTCATAATCACCCTCAACAGTCTTTCGAGTCTCCCGAGAAACATCTTTTTGGGAAAGGAAATCTCTTTAAAAATACATTCTAAAATCCTAATGTTTCCCGACTCATTACTTCTCATAACTATTTTTTCTCATTTTGCATGAATGGTCTCAATTCTTCCCAACTACAAGGGCACTGGTTCACACTGCCCTCGGGCCACCTATGCACCAGAGCTCACAGTACCCTCACGGGCCAGGCAGTGGAGAAAACAGGAGGCAACAGGGTGCCCAAACAGTTTTCAGCTCCATACCTGGCTCTGACTAGAGATTTCCCAAAACTGGCAAGAGCAGAAGTGAGAGGATAATGAAGTGACCGTTGGTTGAAGTCCTCGAGTAGAAAGGCAGCCGCATGGAATTAGTAGGGGGAGGAATTCCGTCTGCACCCTCAAAGCTGCCCTACTTCTGTTTCTGAAGGTCACACAAATATATATCCATCCCACAAATGTTTCTTTTATTACATTTCTTTTTATAAACGCTCAACACTACATGTGCAAAGACCATTTAGCAGAATGCCAACGTTGTCTTCGGAGTTTGTAATTTTAAAAAGCAACAACTAAGAGCTGTTATAACTCATAAAATATGCAATAAGAGGTTTTGAGTAAGATTGAAAAATAGGAGGAAAATCTGTGCTCCCAGCAGGCAAAATATTCATGACATTTTTAATAATAATGAAACAGAAGACCTCCGTAAGGCAAAACTGAAATCCATTTTGCATGTGGGAAAAAAATAGGTTCCATTTAATTTGTTTAGGTTTCTTTGCTAGGGTTCATGTTTCTTACTGAAAATGTTGAGGCTATGAAAAGTATAATAAATGGTTGAGGGGAGGTCTGGAAGAAGGAGCCAAATTTCCCAACGAGAAAATTTTCCAGTAAGAAATCTTGATACAAGAAGTCACTTTGCCCTCTTGGTGAATTTAGTTTTGTTTTACTTTCAGAATGAGACATAAGAGACAGCTCTCCTGCCTTTATGTACATAAGCTGTAATATCCCAGTGGTACCTGCACTGAAGAGGGTAGTTTGCTTCTCATTCTAACTGAGGTTCACCGAACTCACACTAAAGAGGGAGAAAGGACAGGAGTATTTTTAGGTTTTCAAAGGAAATAGGATCATCGTCTTCATATACCAGATGGATTTGTTTTATGGGAGGTGGGTTAGACCTATTCTGTGAGCTTAGGCAGTAAGTGCTGTTTACAGGCTTGAGAGTCCAATGGGGACAAATATAATATTGTAGCTGCTGGTTTCCTTTTACCTCCACACAATTACAAGGTTCCAGAAGTCAGGAGCACATGTCTCCTAGTCACTGATGCGTTTCCACTGCCTAGTAGACTTTAGTGACTGCCTGGGAAGGGGCAGGAGCAGCAGCTACAGCTGTCCAATGATGGGAGCAGCCGGCACCCCCTCTCCAGGGCTGCCCCAGCATTGTCAACACAGGTGGGTCAACGCAGCAATCCCAAGATCTGGACTTAGGGGCACCTGGCACCTGATCTAACTCTGGTCTTCCAGGGTTCCACTCATTCAGAATATCTGTTTCTGTCACTGTATAGTATAGTTGTGCCTTTTTACCCAGTTTTTAGGGAAATCGTCCTCTCCAGCTGCCAAACTTTCCCCAAGGAATAAGCTGAAACTCTGCCTACGGAGGAGGGGGCTGCCTGCTTTTCCAAGGACCTTGTTATCTTTGGAGAAAACGTAGTGATCCTCTCACCTTCCCCCCATCACTGCCTTCTTGACGAATCCGGGTTCCCCAGCTACCTTTATTTCAGGAGGTGCAGGTTGGTGAGGCCAAGGACAGAAGAATTTTGTTCCTAACTTTCTTCCTAAAGGATGCCTCATTATGACTTCACAGGAAGTTCACCCTGGGAGCTGGAATCATTGCTCCCTGGTCATTGCTCGCAAAGTCATCTGAGGATGGATGCTGCTTCAGGTGAGAGAGAGAGAGAAAGAGGGAGGGGAAGGGAGGAGAGGATGGAATTAGGAGACAATAAAAATAACAAGGACCAGATCATGCTCAGCGAAATAAGCCAGAAAGAAAAAGAAAAATACCGGATGGTCTCACTCATAGCAGGAATCTAGAAAACTTAAATAAGGGACCAGGAAAACGAATAACTATAAGAAAGTGAAAATCAAAATCAACAAAAAACTATGAACCAGAGACACTCTAGGGGGGGTAGGGGGCGGGAGGGGAGGGATTGGGGTCAAAATAAGGGGGTTGCAATTGTATGGGGAATATAAAAATAAAATTTATTATTAAAAAAAAAATAACAAGGACCTCAGCGCTGGCTGGACTCCCAGAACTTCCTTTTATTTTTTTCCTTACAGATTATGTTTATCGAAATAAAACAGGTTTAAACCGTGGTAACTGCTTCGGGTTACAGGTTCAAACCTCCACAAATGTCTACTTTCACACCCTGCCCAGCACCAGCGCCCCAGCAATGCTTCCCCGTGTTCTGCTGGGCCCTCCCCCAGCACACCCGCCTACCTTCCCCTTTAAAGGGACAAAAATCACACCCCTCGGGATTTCTAAGAAGCAGAAATATTTTGGCATTGGAGGACATGCCCACTCGGCCACACGGCCGTGTCTGCTCTCTAAATCAGACTCTGATTGAGCGCAACACCTGCTGCAGCCTCCCCTGGAAGTGACTGAGGGTTGTTCGGCGTTTGCTTGCTCACTTGCTTGCTCACCACATCTGATTGGCAGAAATGCAATATTTACTGTTTTCATTTGTTCTTAATTTAAAATTTTATTAACTCTTGGGAGCAAACAGAAATCACAATTCACAGGAATCGGTGAGTATAGAATAGTAAGTATTGGCAAAAGGGGAAACATGAGGCATCAGGAGGGGACACTGAAGCTTGCGGAACAGCAGCCCTGAAGCATGCAGGGGAGCTGCCTGCTCGCTTCTGTGTGGAAGCGGGGAGGGGGTGAGGGGGAGCGCATGCACTGAGCTTATAGACCATCTCCCAGGTATGTCAGAATTAAGTTACTCTGATTTGACAGATGGAGAAACTGAGGTACTAAATAGTCAAGAAACTTGCTCAACATCTTGATGTAGTGACAGAACCCTGCGTGGTGACTTTTCGGCTCTTGGGGGTTTTAGCATAATTAAGGATCCTTGGAAAGACTTTCTCTCCAAGATGTGGTGAAAGTGGCCACTGCCCAAGCTGGCCCGACGTCGTGGGTCATTCCCGAGGACTCCCGGCTTCCTGAAGACCTTGGGCTCTGTGATAAGGATGTTCCTCACCTGAGATTCCTCCCCCAGTCTCTAACTGCACATAGTTTCTGGCAGCTGGTGGAGGGACTACAATTGAGGAATTTTATAAATGCCTTTGGCTGAAGATCATTCACAAAAGATATCATAAATATACTGAAAATGGCTAATGTTTGGGCTAAACTATCCAAAAAGTAACCCAGGCTGTGGTTAAAAGCATCTCTGTGCTGATGACTTGGGGCAGCAGAGCTGAGGACAAGTCACAGGAGAACAGATCTCTGACAAAGATTTCTCCAGTCCACAGTGAAATAAGGAACAGTTCAGCTCTGCCCAGCTCAGCCCAGGACCCAAGAACAAGTAAGTTTTATAAACTTTAGGATTTCTGAAATGATGTCTTTCCCACATTTTTAGTGATGACTAGTTTTTTCCTGTTTAAAGGGAATATGGAATTGAGGTTCCCAATGCTGGACTAGTCAGTCTCTGACTCTGACTCCATCCCCTGCCAGTGGGGTTAGAGGGCCTGTGTGCTTAGAGGGCCTGTATGCTTAGCATCTTTTAGCTCCTACTCCATTATCTGTGAAATGGAAATAGCAACAGTCCTGCCATCGTAAGTGTTCGGCAAATGGAATATAAAAATTCAGTCACATTTTAGAGCCTGAAATGTTAGCTAGTATTGAATAGTCAATAATATAATAGATGGCTATATATATATATATATGTATGTATATATACACACACATATATATCAATAGTATACACATTTATAATACATACACATAAAATCCCACGGCAATTCCATATAGACCTCCAATTTTTTTTCTTAATTTTCTTGTTGTGAAATCCAAATGCCTAGGAATTATTATTCTAATATACAAGGGATGAGTAGAAAGCCTTATCTCCTCCCTCCCTGCCCCCACCCCCACTCTCTCTCACTTCATTTCTACAGCAGCCTTGTCTGACTTGCTAGCAGATCTACCCCAATACCACACAGTGTAAACATTCAACTATATTTGCTAAATGTATGAAATGAGAGTAAAGAAATCTAGTTGTCAAATGCCTAAAAATGAAATTGTCTTGATGCAATTGCTCTGTCCTCCCCTGGCGTTGATCCCACTAGCCCAGGGCACAGCCTCGGCCCAGCTCAGCCCAGGACCCATCACTAGTGGGGGAGGCTCTTCCCTCTGCCTGCTAAACACAGGACACAAAGTGCTTCTCTCTTGCGCTCTCTCTCACTCTCTCTCTCTCTCTCTCTCTCTCTCTCTCCCTTTTTATAAATTTTACTGTAGAATTCCTGCACCTAAGCTGGCTTACCCTGCTAGTTTATCAGCCATAGGCAACTGGTTACAATTGGTTTTTAATGTCATGTAACTGCTAGCCGTGAGGTTAAAAAACACTTGTCTTGATAACTGAAGAGAAAGACTTTACCTAGGATGAAAGATAATGGTGATATGAGAGACATGACTATCCATTGTAGTTTAAAGTACTGTGTTTATAAACAAGAAAAAGGTTGTGCCTACTTCAAGGACTGAATTGCTCTTTAATGGGCAGTAGAATTGGGGATGGGAGTCAGGGTTATATTATTTTATCAGGCATTACAGAGAATGAACGAATGCCAATGCATTCACTGAAGACAACAGCCAGCTGTTCAAACACCATAACCACAATTTACTCTGACAAGTGATCGGTGTTGCCAGAATAGAGACCTTCTCATGTAAACTGACCTGCTCGCCCCACCAGCCTCCAAGTGTTCATTAAGGTCCCAGGGCTTGAATCTGTCACTTCCTCACCTGATTAGAACTTTGACAGCTAATGCCAAGGCAAGCTCAAACTAACATGGCCCAGAACAATAGAAAAAAACCAAAAGCATCAACCTTAATTTCAAACCAACAAAATACTGAGTTTCTCATAATTTAGTTATTAAACACAGTCTATAGTGAATTATGTCCCTGAGATCATTTGTATGTTGAGAGAGGGTTCCACCTTATTTATCTAATAAATTGACACTTGAGGTTTTAGTTGAAGAGATGGATTAGTAAATCCTATTGCCGATAAAATGCGTTGGATTTCTAAACATAATTGAAATTTGCAAATGATCTGATCGGTAATTCCTCTCCCCACCACCCCCTGTCCAAAAGAGTCTTTCCATCAGCAAAAATTAGAAAGAATGTTAAAATGAAGATTTATTCTTGACTGCTGCAAGAAGAGCATATATATGTGGATTTAGAGAGATGCTAACTCGTCTTTGGGGAGTCCACCTTACATCCATGTTACAGATGATGGATACCTCACAATGGGAAGGGGACGGAGGAAGGAATGAGCGGAGGGTGTGGTAATAAGGGGGGCAAGTACTTGCTGTCTTTCCAGCAGAGCATAGTTTCTCACTGACTACCAAATAGAAATTTAACATTTACATTAACCAAGTTGAGATGCTTTTATAAATTTAAAGCTTTCAAGCTATAGTATCGGTCTTTTCCCAGGAATTTTCTGCGCTATATAGACTCCATAGATGCTAGCTGAAAAGTGATTTCTAACATTGTTCGAGCCAGAATCTCCAAAGGTGTAAAAATCCCACAAAGCAGGAATTTTGCTTCTTACAAAATGGAAAACAAACCTCGACAAGTGCTGGCAAATGTCATGTGGCGGGAAAGTATGATTCTGTCGAATGAATATAATAGCTGATTTTGAAGTCCTTATTGCAAGGTAGGCAGTAGGTGAAATGCATTTAAAAACCATTGTGGACTGAATAATGTCCCCACAAAATTCACATGTGAAAGTCCTCACCCACATCAAGGGGTGACTATATTTGGAGATAGAGCCTTTAGAAAAGAATTGAGGTGTAATGAGTAGACCCTAATCCAAAATGATCCACGTCCTTCTAAACAGAGATTAGACCTCAGACATTCAAACCAAGGAATGGACTTCTGAGGACACAGATTAGACAAGCTGAGGAAAGAGGCCTCAGAGAAAACGAAGTTGACAACACCTTGACCTTGGACTTGTAGCCCCCACAACTGTGAGTAAGCAAACCACTTAACCACCCAGGCAATGGTAGCTTGTTATGGCAGCCCAGCAAATCAATACACATTTATGACATTTAGTCCCCACAGGGGCCCTATGATAAGGGTAGTATTATTACTGCTGTCTACTTCCACAGACGAAACTCGTTGTTCATAGAGCTTCAGTAGCAGGTCTAAGGTCACACGCGTGGAATTGAACTCAGGCCTGGGCAGGGCACCAGACCCAGGGGCTGAGTCCTCCTGGCATTGCCAGCAAACTCAGGAGGTCTGACCCAGGTTTGGGGGCCTTAGACCAATCCTGAGGCTCACTTGCCTTTGTTTCCCCATTTATGAGCTGAAATTAGGATGAGAAGAGATGATGCTTAGGTTCTTCTCGATGTAAACAGCTAAATCTCTATGAATGCACAATTGTCTTGCTTTTTTTTTTCTTAACAAATACCAGACAGGGTCTTGAATTTCATTGAAACTAGTGTCTAAAAAAGTGCAGTTATTTTAAGAGACCTGCTGCCTTATACTTCCTTAATGTCCATCTGTTCTTTCTCAGCAACCATTTTCCTAATCCCAGACATCTTTCCTGAAGGAAAAAAAGATGGACACTTCCTAAGAGGCTAATTGTGGTCAGGAGAATTACAAGTAATTCTTGCATAAGTTACCTTTCCTACCTTTTCCTGTTTTTCTGCAAAAATCTTACATTGATTTTCCAATTTCAAATATGAATAAATGACAATGAGTCTCCTAATGAGTCTAATGAGTCTAATGAGTCTCCCTGCTATATTCCCATAGGGGGCAATTGTTCACTCTGTAACATCTCCCTCTGTTGATGTTTGCTCTTTGTTATTTTCAGTGTTTGGTCCATATGTGCTCTGCCCCTGTCACATGGTTGGCATCCAGTGCCCATAGGCAAAGAAAGAGAAGGCAGGTAAAGGAAAGACAACTTTAGAGCAGACAGCATTCCCAAATAACCAAATAACATGACTATATGTCTTTTCTGCAGGGATTGGCTGCAGGGTGGACCAAACAACATTGAGGAGGAGAGTCTCCTGGAAAAAAGTATCTGCTATTAAAGGGTACACTTGAGAAGAGACAATCCAAGAATCCAAGTTCTTTGGAAAGACATGGTCAAATAGCACGTGACCAGGAGGGGAATACCTTTTGCATGAGGTCAACATATCAAGGAGTATGGGGGGTTACAGGGGATGCTGGGATGATGGAGAGCAGCTGTGATGTGCGAACTCTCAAGGCCGCCACCTCTGCTCATTGCAATGTAAGCTATTCGTTGCACTCATACTGAGAGCCCCAGGGATGTTTTTGTAGCCAAAAGCAGACCTCATCCCATGTCCTCCCTGAGACCACAGGCTCTTGGGTAGAAAAACTTTTCTCTGAGCAATAGCCTGCACAGGGTCAGTTCTCGCTAGGTGAGGTAGCTCAACAGTCTCCCGCTTAGTCTTGATGGGGACTGGGAGCTTGCACCAGGCACACTATTCTCAGTGTAGTCCTTGCAGCAGTAAGATTCAAAGTATCATTCATATCACCAGGGAAAACTATGAACAGGTCTCCCTGGAGACAAGAGCCAGACTGTGTGGGTTTCAGCAGTATTGGGTGCACAGTAGGTCCTAACACAACCTATGCATATGGACTGATGACCAAGTAACCCTAAGACCCCAAGCTTCTTGGGAAGATGCAGGGGTGCAAGGAAAACCAAACCCACTTCCCTTCTGTAGTGAGAAGTCCATGCCAGTTTTTGCTTTGATTCATTACCACGTCTCCTCTCAGAAACTGGCAATGCCTCACATTTAGGGTTCAAAGGGCCCCAGAATGTGTGAGAAGCATCTCTTCAATTACACACACGAAGCTGTTCCATGAAACTCCTTCCAAATCATCATCTTAACATGGTAATTATTTTTTTTTTGGATGCGTGCTCTGAACAGATCCTTAAATCTGGAAGCAGAAAAAGAACTTGAGAGAAAGGATAGTTTGGAAGACAAAAACACTCCTTAGTGAAAGCCTGGATTGCTTCGGGCTGTGCACTTCATCAACATTCTGGAGAACTGGCAGACACTCTGGCTTAGGTGCTTTGTGGTCTTTTGTTTAAGTATCAAGTGAGGCCTCAGCTTCTCATTTTTCATGTTTTATTTTCTTGTGTTAAACACAAAGCTACACGGTAGAATCTATGCTGACCTTTAAGAGAAAAGGCAAGTGGACGTGAATATTATCTCACTTGCCCAGTACGAGGATGTGGCCTTTGATATGAAATCCAACTCTAGATCTGGGGCTTTCTATTGCTCTTCTGTATATCCTGTGCTCCTTACACCCTGCTATGGGGCATCCAAACCACGGGAAAGCATGGGAGCTAAGGCGGGGTATAGGGGCACTAGGGAAGCCAGGGGTTGAGAGCAGCAGGGCTCGAGCTGAGGAGTGGGATGGAAGGGACATTGGAAGTGAAGCCTAGCTTTTACTCACATGGGAACACAGAGGAACAAAGCAAATGAGCAACGAAACAAAACAAAAACAGTCTGTTTAAAAAAAGAGAACAGTTTGGTGGTTACCAGAGAAGGGGGGAAGGGGATGGGCAAAATGGGTAACAGGGGTCAAGTATATGGTGATGAATGGATACTAGAATTTTGGTGGTGAAACTGGTGAAGTGTAGCAACTGTAGAATTATAATACTCTACACCTGAAACCTATAGAATGTTATAAATAAATGTCACCCCAGGTCAAAGTTGTTTAAAGAAACAAGACCTGTGAAATCAGAAGTTTGGATTTTATAGAAAATAAAGACCCAGAAAATGTATGTGGGCTAGAGAGTTGCTGTCTTGGTTGGGTTTTCCAAGAAGCAAACACTGATGGGAGGATTTGGTGCCAAGAAGCTTGTTTTGGAGGCAGTGGGAGGGTACTGGGAAAGTGATACAGAGAATAAGAGGCAGCCAAGAAGGGACAGTTGCTGAGTGAAATATACCCAAGGTGGACACCATTAGAGGAAAATGGGGTGACCCCTGTGGCCCAAACTAAGGCTCCAGAGTCGCTTTGCTTCCACCCCATTATCAGTGGATGAGACCTTAGGTGAGAAGGGACTCCACAGCAGCAGACCAACGATGTTGGAAAGTTTGAGAAAGGTTGCGGGCATGTCAGTTGCCCTCCTAAAAGTCAACAGTGACTCACGATGGGTATGAGTCCAGTTGGATCTGTGCCACAGGAGTCAGAGACCCTGGCCTGGTGTCCAGCACAGGAGATGATGACAAGTTTGGGCTAGAAAAGAAAGAAGACAGGACCTCATGCTTAGGGACCTGTGATAGCTGTCAGATTTCAAGGAAGTCTATTATCAGAATTGAGCTGTAAGGTAAGGACCTATTTGAAAACACAGCCAAGTTCCCAGTTCCAGAAGGACAACTCATCATCAATGTTGATGGTCAAGCCCAAGTTCATGCTCCCGTGTGAGTGTTTGAATTTGAGACTGACAAATCCCTGCACATGAAGGTCAATGTTGGTCCAGGAAAATGGCTTTCAAGCCAGGCCCATCAAGCAGTGCCAGCAAGCGGGGAGGGAATGTTAGCCCCATGAGTAGCCTGCAGGCTCATCGCACAGGGAGCATCCCAAGCACTGAAGCAGCTCTAACTACGGGTGACCAGTCAACGTGAGGAAATATAATCAAACTACCCAGTGCTGCTTTCTTTTACTTTGAAAGAATTCTCAAAGGGAAAGAGAGAAGACAGAAGTGAGAGACACAAACTTTCAATGTGATTTTTCTATCATATTCTTAAGAAAAAGCAGTTTACTATAGATGCCTCATAAAGTGGAATCACAAAATACTTATCCATCTGTGACCAGTTTTCTCACTTAGCATAATGCCCTTAAGAACCATCCGTGTTGGGCCTCCCCTGGTAGCCAGGCGGTTGAGTGCCACACTGTGAAGCTGTCCACAGCCTCTGCAGCATGGGTTCTATCCCCACCAGCCGGCGAGGGTCCCACATGGTGCAGCAGACCTCTCCTGTCTCGCCCGCTGCTCCCTTCAGCAGTTTTTCGTCAGTCTGCCTGTTCTGCTCCCCACTCTGTCTCTGGTAAATCCTCTCACCCTCCCGCATATCTGGCCTGTGCCCCGGTTCTTGTATAAATAAATAAAATAAGTCTTTAAAAATAAAAAAAGAACCATCCGCGTTGCCACTTAGTGCAAGGACTCTGGTCTTTTTTTTTAAGGCTAATAATATGCCATCACATGCATACATCACATTTTCTTTATCGGATCCTCCTTTGGGAGAAGGGGAATGGGAAGTTGCTCAATGGGTATAATATTTCAGCCATGCAAGCTGAGAAAGTTCTAGAGATCTGCCATACAACACAGGGCCTACATTAACCAAAACTGTATTGTACCCTTAAAAAATCAAGAGGGTAGATCTCATATTAAAGGCTGTTCCCACAATAAAAAAAAGAAGTAGAATTCCTTTTATTATAAGCTTTTATTTGCTTATTTATTTTTCCCCCAAGCCATGAAATACCAGGGTATATAAACCTTCCCACCAACCTCTGAGTCAGCTACAACCTAATGAAGAAGTAAGTGAGAGAGGAAGAGTTGCTTTCATTCTAGAACCCACTGCTGCCCTCACAAGGGCCACTGCAAGATTATAGTCCAGGGACATCTCCCCCGAGCTCTGCAAGGTTGGCATCATGGCAACACAGAGCAGAGGGAAGAGAACAAGCTCAAACGAGAAAATCACAATCCATTGCAAAGCCTCAGATTTTTTCTATTTTTCTTATATAAAGTAAAGGACTCCTACAAGTGGAGAAAGTAATTCTGCCCAAGAGACCCATGATAGGTGAGGATGATCTGCTTCTACCTACCTGCCTGCTTGCTTTAGGTAAGCTTGCAGAAAGAAACTGAACATAAATCAAAAATTTTGGCAACACCAGAATAACTTAGATGTCAACCACATGGGCTGGTTAAGTAACAAATGGATAGGCTGCCATCAGAAATGACAGTGATGATCAATGTTTATTGACATGGAGAAATGCCTACTCCATGTCCTGTTAACTGAGAAAATAATAGGCAAAAAGTAAGATAAGCCATATCATAGCATCACATTGGTTTAAAACGGGTATTGCACATTTTTTAAGTCTGGTAGAAAAAAACAAGGTGTTAGTGATGTCTAGCTTTATGTGATTCAAGTGTAGTCATTTTTTTAAATATATGGTCATATTTTAACAGCAAAAAAATAGATTTCTTATATAATATTTTTAAAAGATAGTCAATAAAAAAATTTTTAAAGATATTATCCCCTCTCCCAAAATGTTGAGAATATTGCTCTGGACCAAAGGACTGAAGAAAAGTCAAAGATTCCTGAGTAGAAAAGAGTTAAATAGGAAGATGTGGTCCAGGAGGGGGCGGAGCAACATGGCGGCGAGGAGACGCTGCGAGTAAGATCTCCCATTAAAAAAAGTGAATAGGGAGGAAAAGCGGCAGGTCCCAGTGAGAACTGGGACACGGAAGATAAACGGACGACTCCAGCAAACTGCCCGAAGAAGAAAGTTGCCATAAAAGAGGACGAGAAGGGAGAGAACCCTGCTCCCCTCCCCCGCCCACAGAGGCGGCACTCTCCGACCGGCAGAGAGGAGGAAACAACAAACCAAAACGGCCAACAAGAAAAACGGACGCAGCAAGCGGGACTGTGAGTGGAAAGGAACTATTGCAGCCACCACACCCCGTGAACGGGAGCTGAGGCGAACCCTGCAGGATCCGCCGCGGAGGTGAGCTCCAGGCGCCATTAAAGAGAGCCCCGCCCCCCAGGAGGAGACCAGCACCAGCACACAGCCCCAGCCGCCCGGTAAGCTTGCGCGGAAAGTGGCGCGGATCCAGACCGGATCGCAGCTGCCCAGGTCCCCGCGCCTGCGACCTAGGCTTGCGGGGAGACGGCGGAGGCCCTCCCTGAGTGAGCAGGAACAAGGCGCCCAGGCACGGGAGCGGGATTCAAAAGGCGCCATTCCCGCGCCACTGATCTGGGCTACAGCCCGCGTCCTGGAACTGAGGGCTTTGGAACTGAGACCCGGGGCACGAAATTAGGGGCGTGGGTTCCCCACGACGGTGGGGCACAAGGCAGACACAGCACCCCAAAGCCGTTGAGGTGTACCCTACCATTCCCGCTCTGCTCCCTGTCCCACGGGGTGGAAAATCAGCTCCCCAA